AAATATTTACTTGATGAAACAAATCTTGCTTAATTGCTGTGGTCAATCTCTTGCCTGGGTTTTATGGGTTCCTGCAGCTGGCTTTAATCTCCTGATTTTCTCTGGGARCAAAGGAGGAGAGGAGTGAATGTAAATCATGGCAGGAAGAAGTTGAAATTTTTCTGGCAGAAGTTTTGAGACTTTTTGTAACGTGCAGTCCAGAAACAACCACGAGAGAGGTTCCCTGGGTTTGAGGGGATCCACTAAAGGAATTTCTTACAATGTGACCTTTACAGAGTCAAGGGCTGCTATTTGGGCAGCTCAGGGAGGCTTAGCAAGGAGCGAGAAAAGCCGAGGCTCCGCAGAAGAGTGACCAAAAGAGGTCAGTGTTTGTTCAGCTGAAACAGCGACTTGACAGCTGCGAGGAAACGAGGATGGGAGCGGAGATCGAGCGGGGGATGGAGAGGGGATGGAGTGGGAATGGAGTGGGAATGGAGCAGAGAGTGGAGAGGGGATGGAGCCGAGGATGGGTGCGGAGATCGAGTGGGGGATGGAGCGGGGATGGAGTGGAAATGGAGCAGAGAGTGGAGTGGGGATGGAGCCGAGGATAGGGTGCGGAGATCTAGTGGGGGATGGAGCGGGGACGGAGCGGAGGGTGGAGAGGGGATGGAGCCGGGATGGAGCAGAGGGTGGAGTAGAGATGGAGCTGAGGGGTGGAGCGGGGATAGAACCGAGGATGGGGTGCGGAGATCGAGCGGAGGATGCAGCGGGAATGGAGCCGAGGATGGAGAGGGGATGGAGCAGAGGGTGGAACCGGGATGGAGCGGAGGATGGAGAGGGGAGGGAGCGGGGATGGAGCCGAGGGTGGAGCGGGGATGGAGTGGAGGATGCAGCGGGGATGGAGAGGGAGATGGAGCGAGGATGGAGCCGGGGATGGAGCAGGGGGTGGAGAGGAGGATGGGGCGGGGATGTAGCGGAGATGGAGCGGAGGATGGGATGGAGCATCCCCGGGAGCGCAGCGCTGCCCGTCCCCGCCCCGCTCCTGCCCCTGCGCTCTGCCGTGGATTCCTGCGACCGAAAGCTCTCCCGGCACAGCGCTGGGAGCTGAAGGGACTGCACAGAGCCCGCTGCTCTGAACTGAAACAGCCTGGAAGGGCAGTGCCGGGCGTGGCATTTACCGGCAGCACGGGAGATGCAGGRCTGGGAGAACAAACAGCCTGGCAGCAAACCCAGGGCTTAGAGTCTGGAAAACCGTTCCAGACACTGTGAAACTCACTGAGCACAGGAATTTAGTATTGCTCTGTGTTTTTGTTCTTTAGTGCAGCCAAGGTGCTGTGAGCTTTTTGTGGGAGTGCAGTGACCCCAGTGAGAGGCTCCTGCTGTTGCTGAGGTGTTTCCTTTTCCCTGCAGCCATCCCTTGAGGCTCCTGCTGCTGCTGAGGTGTTTCCTTTTCCCCTGCAGCCATCCCTTGAGGCTCCTATTGTTGAAGATATATTCCCTTTTCCCTGCAGCCATCCCTTGAGGCTCCTGCTGCTGCTGAGGTGTTCTTGTTCCCCTGTAATCATCCCTTTGAGAGGCATCTGATGCTCTTGAGATATTCCCTTTTCCCTGCAGCCATCCCTTGAGGCTCCTGGTATTGAGAGTATATTCCCTTTTTCCCTGCTGCCATCCCTTCTGCCCAGAGCTTAATTCCTCCTCTGCATGTTCCATCTGTAACTCAGCACACCCAGGCAGTGCTGCTCCGCTTGTGTCCATGTTCTAAGTATGAATTTCTCTGGAATAACAGGGTGTGTCCATGTTCTGAGCATGAATTCCTCTGGAATAAGAGGGGTGATGCTCTCTGGAATTAGCACACACCAGCACAATCATGTGTRGGAAGAGCTATTGCCTTCTCTGTAGCACTCCTGCAGGTAGCAGAACCCTTCCATGGCCATAGCAGTTTTGTGAGATTAAAATTTAAATTTAAATAGGAAGCTATAATCYGAGCTCCTTAAATCATAAGTCACATCTTCAGCTCTGGCTGTTGCTGGTTCAATTGCCTTTTGGTTGCTGTCTTTAATAGCTGTACAGTATTATATCTAATACTGCTGACATTTCTTGTAATTTGAGGACAGGRAAATGGAACAGTAAGATTTTCATCTGCAGTTGATCCGAGTGCATTAATTAGAAACATAATTTCTAAGTTTGACATGTTAGGAAGGTGAGGTGCTAAATGGAAATCTTTGTATATATGACTGAAAGCTTCAAGTTGAAAATTAAATATTTGCTTGGAAATTGCACATTTGCTGTGTGATTGTGTGAGTAAATAAATGCTTTTACTTGGTTTTGACACAAATTAAGTAATGATTTCTGGGTAAGCTGCTGGAGACTCTGTAATGTCTTTGAGATGCTGCTTGGTCCCTATGCCAGCAAAATCCTTCAGTTCTCCATCGGAGAGATTTACAGAGAGACAGTTATTTTGAGACAAAGCTGAGGCAGAGATTTCCTGGGCTGTGGATTAATAACCTTAGAAGTTCAAGCAAGAAAATCTGGCAGTGTTCTGGCTGCCATGTGTTCAGTCAGTTAAACACAGTAAATGTATAAATATCTGAGATTAGGTGGGCAAATTCAGGTGGTTTTGCCTCCAGCTCCTCAGTCTTGGGGTTTACTGAGGTAGTATAACTTAACAAATTTTAGTGTACAAAGTTGGCACTATTGATTTAAAAAAATGAATATTTAATCACAAGCATACAGCAAGGTCAACAAATCTTCACTAAGTAATTAAATAAACTTTTCCTTGCTAGCACTCAAACACCAAGTAAATACAAACTGAAGTGAAAACATTTGTAGCATATGTGTACAGATTGCATTTGGAAATGTGTGGGGCTTAGTACTGTCTGACTTAATTCTGATTCATCCATTGACCTTGTTATGTAAAACTCAATGCCCTTTTTAGAGGGAGAGTTGCAAATTGTGCTTCTGCATATTTATTTYGGAAGTTCAATCTTCTGGGTGTTCATACCCTAATTCCAGTCCTAAGTGCAATCACAACATTGATTTTTCTCACTAAACATAACCTACTTTACCCTGGGATGGAATTTTTTTTTTTTAATGGGCTTTATATAATGGCATATGTGAAAACCACTCAACGTAATGCCCCATCCTGTAGTTAATTAATGAAATGGCACTTTAGCTGTGGTCCCTCATCCTCTGGCAGTGGATCTGATCACTAACCTTGGCCAAACCCAGTGTCCATCCTAATTAACAGGAGCTCAGGTATCGACTGTGTCAAGCTTTGTGGTGGAAAGAGCAATTTGCAGCTGCTGACAGAGTTGTGATTCCATTGCAAATCCAAACGGGGGAACCTCATTTTGAGTGGTGTTTTGTCATTTCAGAGCCTGTCTCRAGGAGCAGCTGAACAAAGTGTAAACGATGAGTTGTTACTTCTCTCCAGTTGCTAAATTGCAGTGTCCTAAAATACACCCAAACGTCTCCTAAAACACAGAGTGCCAGAGCCATGCTGCAGGATTTACACATCCGAGATTGGCTGGAGTGTTTTATGAACACTGAAACATTTATTTACTGTTTATTTATTTGRGTGTAATATACTGAAAACTTAATGGGACTTAAAGCTTTTAATAAGKCTTCAGGAATGAATTTGATTCGTCCTTTGCCTTTCTGTTTTCATTTCTGAGCAATTCAGCTGAAGGCACTGGAGATTCATCAGGCTGYTTTTACAAGAGCAAGACAGGATTCTGTAAAGCTCCGTGGTGTTTCATGTTACAAATGAGAGAATTAATCATTTATGCTTTTATACTGAGAAGAAAAAAAAAAAAAAGTTTTCTTTTTCAATGCCTTAAATTAATTGTGTTTTTTTTTAAAAACTGTAAGAAGACAAGTACTCTGTCATTCTTACCTACAGCTTTTGAGTGTTTTATTGGCTAAAGATGCAAAAAGACCATTTTTTTTWAAAGAAACTTAAGTGCCAAGTCCTCATAAATGTCAAGAAGATACCAACATCTTKCTAGATGACTATTTCAGCTCAGTAGCTAACGTTTTGTGTTGCATAAATATTTTAGCAAACTGTGATTTTAAATGTGGTCTCCTTGCTGTGGTGACCACACTGCTGGGGATGAGAGCAAACCCCTGCCAGGGCTGGGCATTTCTGGGTGTCYTCCTTTTAATCCTCATCCTTTTTGTCCCTCATACTCCTCATCCTTTTGTCCCTCGATGCCTTYAGGAGGGAAAGGCTTCATAATTCTGTCCCTTCCTCATTCCTGGGCCTTTGTGACAGAGCTGAGGATCAGCAGTTAAATGTTCTGCACCCAAATAATTCCCTTTGCTGGGAATTCTTTGTACAACTTCACTTTAATTAAGCGAGTGTCCTGTAATTATGCAGTTGTTGCTGGTGTTATTAGCATCACTAGATAAACACAGTTAACTTCTCCACAGGGAGAAAGTGAGARTGGCAGAAATCTGCATCCAGAACATCCCTGGCTTACAAAGGCTTGTCTTAACCAGCAGCTGGATTCTCTCTAGGCTGGAGATTTCAAACAGACATTTCCTTGTGGTAAAGAGGAAATTGTGAGGCAGAGGAGCAGCAACCTGTCCACTGATATGCAGGAGAATTTAATCTGGAATCAAAATGGGTTGTTAAAAAGCCTGCAGTGGAGCATTCCTCTGTGCAATGATGAGGCTCAGTTTTGTCTTGGTACAGACAAACATTCCAGAGTCTTCTGTTCTGGGACAAGCTTCTCTTTGGAAACTATTCTTGCCTGAATAGGGAAAAGAACCTCGAGTGCAGGTTTTCCTGGAGGTTCAGTTTTAATCCTAATTCCAGCCTGCAGAGCATACAAAGGCACTGTCCAAAGAATGGGATGTTTCCACAGGCCTGAATTCATGGTCCCACTCCCTCATTTCCTGCTGGATTTGAAGTCTCTTCTACTTCCCTTAAAACTGATCTATTGAGGTTTTGGTGCCTGAGCTGCCATCCCAGTCCTGAATGAGTCTTGTAAAGCTTTTCCAACTGCTGTTTCCCACAGGGCAAAGGTGAAGAAAGGTGTGAACATTTTGGGAGCCAARAGCAGCGACCCCCGGCAGTGGGACGTGAAGCAGGAGGTGGGCAACGGTGGCAAGCACTCCACCACCACTGTGGTTTGTCAGAGGATAGCCCTGAGCTCCAGGAACAGGTATGGAACCTCAGCTTTTCATTAAACTCATTTATGTCCATGGTGCTGTTCAGTGCTTGGAGGACTTAGGGCTYATAGCTGTTAAACCTGGGGCTGGAAATCTGGAGATGCTTTTGTTAACTGTGCTACCATCTGCTGATCTATTCCATCTCTAATGGAATTCATCAGGAAAAAAATGAATAGGATAGACCTGCACTGGGGGTGGTGTCATTTTGGCAGGAATATCAATATTCTTAATTTCAAAGGGTTTTTACTGATCTTTTAATTTTTTTTGGCTTGATGGTTATGACCTTGTTTCTCTGAGCATATCACAGCCTCTGTGTTTGGTTCACCAAGCCAGCAATGAATTCTGCCACAGTGAGCAGTGGACAGGGTAATCCCAACCCTTCAGTGTCTTCTGTGTGAGACAGAAGAACCCCTCTTGGCAGAGTTGTTTTTTCCAGAGCTGGGGGTTGCTTTGGCCCGTTGGTGACTGAGGCCAAGCCTTTTGGGGAGCACTGGGATGAACTGGGCTGTCAGTGCCTGCCTTGCTGTTTGCTCTATTTTTGGGGGCTTTGGTCTGGCTGTCCCACAGCCCAAAAGCAGAGCTTTCTCCAGAACTGGGGCTGCCTTCCATGCACACAGTGCAGTTGTGTATTTTCAGTAGGAATCATTTTGCTCTTCCCAGGCATCAYCTTAATGAATTCTCCAGCGCTGCTGTGCTTCAGTCCATGCAGAGAATTCACTGTACACATGCAAACAATGCTCCCCCAGCTCTGGGATAATTATCAGCACAAACCTGGGCTCATTGAGGGGCACCATAAAATCTGTGGTGGATCTTGGGTTGGTTCTTGCTGTCCCACCCAGCTGGGCTGTGCCAGATTTTAACTTTGGTATTCTATACCCAAATACCAGACATCCACGAGCAGCTCATGGCAAGATGATTGTCTGATTCCATGTATTTCCACTTGGGGARTGATCTCTCCMTGTTTTTATCTCCACCCTGAGCTTTTCATTCTATTTTTTGCTCCCTCCAGCTGAGGAGGGGAGAGATGGAGCTGCTTTAGTGGCATCCAGCCAGGGTGAACCCACCTCAGGACAGGTACAGGGAAAGGAAAAAGATATTTGAGGCTGCCAGGAGTAAAAACCAGAGCAATTTGAAAGGGGACACAGCTTTAGAACAGCACGTAGCTCCGAGCAGATTTGCAACTGCGGAACTATAATAGTCAGGTTATCAAACCCCAAATTAAATCTCCTCAATCCAATTTGCATGAAGTCTAATTAACCCATAAAAATATTTTTGGCACTAATTATGCAAATAAAACTCAGTGTTTTAATTAATGCCTCTCTCATTTGTGTATGTAAATAGTTGCTGTCTTCTGGAAGCRTAGTGAGCCTTGGTTGGGATGAGATGTTTGAGAAGAGCTGGGTGGGGAATCTGGGGGTTCTGAGATCCCAGGGAGAAAGCACATGAGGTACTGGGCATTCCTGGGATTCTGAGTGTCACTTGGAGCCCCCTGCACACAGCACAAATACTGTTAAACTAATTGAATTTGGTGGGGAATTGCGAGTCCCTGCTGGGATGTTTCTGTGCTGCCACCAGCCCTTCCAGGCTCGTTCACAGAGCAGTTCATGGGGTGATGTGCAGCTCTGTGCTGAGGTCTCAGCAGCTCTGGGATGCAATTCTGCAGTTCCAGCACCAGCTCTGSCTCATCCTCCCTGCAGCAAACCCAGCTCAGAAATAGGATGGGTAATTTATGGGTGTTTTCCACTGTGTTTGCAAAGGAATCTCCTGCTGCACCATGGAGAACCATTGTACTCCTTCCCCTTCATACCCCAGAAACAAGTGCCCAGACTCATTAAAATACTCATTTTTSTTTCCAGCTTTTCCTTTCATGCACGTTTCCCTGTCATTAGTGTGTGGATATAATTACATTGTGAACACTTGGAAACAGCAGCTGATCCACCTTTCACAATATATAAATAATAGAATACAAGAGATGTATTTTAGGTACATCACCTCAGTAATTGTTTACCATTACCTTTTGAGATTTTAACTAGGTCGTGCTTTACTTTCTTAAGGAATACTTTGTGGTGCTAAAGCCAGAACTTAGATTTATTCAGAAAGGCTTTGCAACTGTAGCAAGTGAGGGTGCAAACAGCTTGAAATCAGYGATGTTTGTGTGGCTCATAATGCAATTTCTGCTGCGATTCAAGGAGCTATTGATGAGGATAACAACAGCGTTGATTAGTGCAAACAAGGCTCAGACAACTGCTTGGCTGCTTGTTTTCCTTTGTTGTTTCTGCTGTGGAGGGCAGCTGGTGGGTTTGGGGTGGGTTTTGGGGTGCACAGAAGGATGGTTTTGGTTACTGCTGATGGTTTTGGTTCCAGCCTCAGGCTYGTGGGGTTATTTGTTATTTCTGGGGTGTCACAGCCCCAGTGGAGGGTGTTTGCTGGTGCTTTGTTCTGGGTTACACTGCAGGGGAGGAGAGCTGTTCCAAGGCAGAGCCAGGCCTATTTCTGTTGTTTTGTTGTTGTTTTTTTTTATTTTTAATATAGCAAACATCWACCTGCTGGCTTGCTGTCAGTGTGGCGATGGAAAGATGGATTTAGGGTAGGAGCAAGGAGGATAAGGGGAAGTTCTTAGGGTGGCCCAAAGCACCAGAGCATCCCATAACTGCAGTGTCTGGAACTCAGAGGAACTAAAACCGAGTCTAATCTAGGCTTAACTCCTCTTGCTCGTGCAAGCCTGGCAGTGTCCTGGRACAAGCTGTTCTCAGGCTGRCATTTCTGCCCCTCCTTGGGCTCTTTGTCTGTGCAGGGCTGGAGTCACCCAGCGTTTGGAGAGAAACAGAGTGTGGGAGAACAGAGAGACGTTTAGAAAAACTGACATAATGGAAAAGCGCTGTGATGTAGCACTTTATCCTCTTGGCCTTGAACCTTTGGAGAGGCCCGTGGGCTCAGGGCTCTGCAGCCATCTGTCTGCTGAAGAGGCAGCTCGGTGAGAGTGTTTCCAGATGTTGTGTTTGCGTTTCAGGCTGTGGCACAAGCGCTCCCTCCCTCTCGCCACATGTGCAGGGGTTGCTGTGGCTGTTCTGGAGCTCTGGGTGTTATTCTGTAGTCTGGGTATTGCTGTGTGCCCGTGGAACAGCTGATGAGGTTTCCAGGCTGTTTTATGTCATCAGGACACRAAGAGAAGCAGCAAAGCCGCTGCAATTCMSYGCAGATCCCTCCTCTGTCTGGTGGYACCATATGCTGCCAAGGGATGTCAGTGAAATGAATTCTCTCGTGACTGAAAAATAAAAGTGAAGTGTGTGTGTACACCATGCTTGGGGAGGTGTGAGCGTGTGCYGTGTGCCTGCCTGCAGCAGAGACAGCCAGGATGTGAACAGAGCGCTCATCACGGGCAGGGTGGATGTCATTAATTATTGCAGAATCTGGGTCATCCTCCCCTGGCACTTTGGGGTCACAGCGCTTTGCAGAGCTCAGCAGAGTGACAGTGGTGACCTCAAAACCTCGCAGCCTGAGCACAGAGCACCATTCTCACACGGGTTCAGAGGTTTGGTGCTCGTGTGGCAGGATTTTCTCATGCTCACTGTTTATCATTTTGGCTGATAACTGGGGCAGGATCAGAGCTGGGGTGGCACACCCCACTGCTGTAAATGCTTGGGAAGTTGTCCCCATCTTCAGGAGGTCACATCTGTGTCTGCAGGACTGAGCTGTACAAACTGTAGAGATACTTCAGGGGGAAGACACCAGCAATGGATGTCTTACACCATTAAACCCTGAAACAGAAATGATTCCCATTCATTTATGAGCAATTCACATATGAGCAGGAATTATGTATGAACAAAAGGAGAGTAGGGAGAATCTCAATCCTCCATTGGATGTGGGGGGAAATGTCGTGACAAGGGATGAGGAAAAGGCTGAGGTACCAAAAGCCCTCAGCTGAGCAGAATAAATCCTCCACAATTCAAGGGAAAATTGGCAAAAAGACCTGGGTTTGTTGGTTGGCAGCTGGCTGAATATCAGCCACTCGTGTGCTCAGGTAGGGCAAGAGGAGATGGCCTCAGAGTGCCCCACGGGAGGCTCAGATTTAGCTGGACATCTGCACAAGGGCTGGGATCAGCCAGCAAGGCTGGGATCAGCCAGCTGTGCCAGGAACAATGGCTTTTCTAGGGCACAGCAGGCTGGGTGAGGAGGTGGCTTCCCAAAGGAGCTTTTCCTACAGCTCCTCTCGTGCTGCTCTGAGTGTCAGGAGCGTTCAGTTGTAATAATTGTTGGTTTGGTTTGTTTTTTATTAAATCTACTTTGGGGTTCCTGGGTCTGTTGAAAAGCAGAAGGGCTGAAGCACCAAGAGAAAAGTCATTCTTCACGTATTTCTTGCCCAAAGAAAAGCATCAAACTTGTTTGCACAGCAAATATGTATAGTTTGGAAGAGATTTTTAGGTGTTTATCAAAACCCAGTGCTGCAGGCTCAGTCCATGCAATCACCCAGCCTTGCTGAGGAAGCTGCAGTCAGTGCCCTCCCTGCTTTCCAGGCAGGTTGGAGATATTGTTTTATTTCATTAGAATGTGAAGAGAGCAAAGCCCACCCAAACAGAACAGGATGTGCAGTCGTGGGATAATGGGACAACAGCTTTCCATCTATTGTCAGTGATGGACAGCTCAGTAATAACTGTAACTGTGATGGCCAGGGCTGAGAGTGTTTTCTGACTCTCTGACAAAGTAATCATTTCTCAAGAGTTACCTGCAAGCACGCAGTCTGCTTGGCAGCTTTCACTGAGCCTTGGGAGCGTTGGAATCACTCTGGAATACACAGGAGGGCAGACTGCCCGTCCCACTGGCACCTTCTGCCCCACCCTGATGGGTTCTACCCCCCAGCAATCCCCATTTTAATAACCTGTAATTCATAGCAAAACTATCTGTGAGAATCCTCTGATGCAGCACATTCATGGACTGACACTTCTGCTCATTTTCCCTCCGCACTTTAAATCTACTTGAGGGCAAGATCAGCTCT